ACAACACCCTGCAGTCTGGCTGATAGTTAACATTTTTTTAAGTTATTAGAGATTATTCAATTCAATTCAACTAACAAAACTCATGGTTGCTCATTTCGATTGTAGGAATGTTGTTGTTGTTGTTGTTGTTGTTGTTGTTGTAAATCCAAGTCCATGAGTCTTTCTCTTTTGTCACTGAATAAAGCAAAACTAATTCAATGAAAAACGTCTGTACTTTCTATTAAAGGTAAATGACTAAGTATGCATTTTCTAAAACCAACTATGTGGATCTGGATCATGGTTTTCTCTCTATTCACTAAATAAACAGAAAAACGTTGAGTTTTGTTAGCATCCCTTTAATGAAAATCAAAGCTGTATTTTCCCAAACATGGCTTTAAATGTTTCCTCATTACATGAAACCATATTCATCGTGCACAGCTGAAAAGTAAAAAGCCCTTTAGACATTCCCCATCTGTATCAATAAGAGTTAGTCAATACTGTTTCATTATTTAGTGGAAGAAGTCAGGAGACAGAAAAAAGCTTTTTGTAGATGTTGTGTTGACATGGGTGCGTAGACAAGCGTTTAGCTGCGTGTGTGATACTGGAAGAGCAGACAGACGATCCAGGACCAGCAGCTTTTCAGAAACAAGCTCACAGCTGAACACGTCTCAGGTCGACCTTTAAGAAGAAGTGGAAACACAAACATCTTAAAGCCTTTTGAATTTGTCTCGAATGAACTCAGTTCACTCCCCACTTACCTCCCTGTACAAWGACATTTTGGACCTGCCCGGTTATTTTACACATGTAGGTGGTGTTCTGTGAGATCTCGTTCGTTAGGCCCTTCAGGGTCATTCTGTAGCCGTAGGGATCGAGCTCCACCACCTCCGTTTTGTCTTTGAAACGCGGATCTGCTGCAGAACCYGACACGTTGGTGCTGAGGAGGGTCTCCTTGGTTCCAGACGACCAGGAGAACTCGTAGCTGCTGATCTTGTTGGGCTTGGGCTCGATCCGGCAGTCCACTCTCAGGTCATCGTCATCCTCAACGCAGACGGAGATCTTCTGGGACTGAGCTGGGATCAGCAGCGCTGCGCTCAAACATAAACAGCACCATTAAAAAAATGCACATATGACCAAAAACAAAGCATTTCAATCTGACCTGAGCTGTTCTCTCACCTCCCAGCACTCCACAGACAAACAAGTTGAGCATGATGGAGAAGTGCACGTCCACCTATAACACTAAAGATGAATTTAGGTTTGATTAAAAAGAAGAGCAATGTCACACAAAACTGACGCATCCAGATTAGTTTGGCTACACGCTGAGGTCATTTTGGGAGTGGTCACAATAATATTTATAACACAGACAAARAGAGAAGAGCTGAAAGAGTCACCAAAAGAGAAAAATACTTTTTGACAACATAAAAAAGCTAAACTGATAAATAAGCTGAAACATTCTTAAAAAAGATATAAATGTGCTCTCTATCCAGATCCTTTACTAAAACTAATAAATAATGACATAATTTAGGACAATAGTCTCACATTTAAAAGCTCATTTGGGAAAATTAACYAATGTTTTTCTTTCTCTATAGTTGCATCAATCTTCCACAATGTTCCARGTCTTTTTGATGGGGTTACCCTAGAAACCCCTTTTTTAAAGGACCTCCAAGGAGTCTTACCTCCCGTCGAGTCTGAATGACGCAGCAGTTCCCCGTTGCTCTGGTTCCGGGGGCGAACAGCTGCTTGCGGCCTCCTTTCAGCGTGCAGCACTGCAGAACATCAGGCTACTTCTGAGAGAGAGGGCAGCATCACAGAGAGGTGGGAGAAGAGGGAGGGATGAGGGGTGGACCAGAAAGAGCTGATTCGTCTGTCTCCTCTGCAGAGGCTGATGGAGGACGTGGGCCAGGCTCTGTGTGTGTGTGTGTGTGTGTGTGTGTGTGTGTGTGTGTGTGTGTGTGTGTGTGTGTGTGTGTGTGTGTGCTACAGAGGCAGAAACTCACCACATCGTCATCGCTTTTACCAGAAGGGTGTTACGACCTTGTCTCCTTCCCTTGTTCGCGTCCTCACCTTTGTCTCGCCTCCTGAGTGCTCTTGTCCTGATTTACCCTTCCTGTCTGTTTGGGTTTGGTTCGGTTTGCTCGTCTAAATGGATCTCCAAAGCAGCAAAGTGCTTTTTGTAATGACCACATTCTTATTGAACTGTACTTACGGGACCGAATGATTTCACATGAGAATATGGTGAAGGACCATTACTGTCTGATGTTATCTCTCTTCTGATGGACTTTCATTTTAAAGGCAAGGATGAGGTTGGGTCATTCTTAGAGACCTTACATCTCATGTGTTTACTGCTAAAACATCAATTATTGATTTACAGATACTCCATGTTCTGAAACAATGATTATTATTATTATTATTATTATTATTATTATTATTATTATTATTATTATTATTATTATTATTGCCTGGGATCCTGTTTGTGAATTTCTCCAGTTCTTTCTTCACGAGTCCCACCATGACCACTGGTATTTGTTTTGGTCTTCATGTTCCACATCCTGCTGGTTTCCATAGATTTCCACAGAGGTGTTTCTTTCTGAAAGTATATTTTGTTAAGACAGAAAGTTCTTATAATCTTAAAGGACTTGAGCTGTTTATAAAACCTAAAATTCGGACAAACTTGAAGGACAGATGTGCTTCTGTTCAAGGATTAAGATTGTGGAATAATCTGGATAGTGATCATAAAAATGCAGGTTCAATGTATTTCTTTAAAAGAATGATAAAAATAAGTTTGTTAAAGAAAAGTTGTTGTTTGAAAAGGAATTTAAGCTTTTATTTTGTTTTGTTGATTATTATTGCTTGAAATTAACTATGGAAAAAAGGGGCAGATATTGTAAGATTTTTTTCCTTCTTTCTGCCTCCTTTCACTTCAATTTGGATTTGTATATATTTTGTTTTGTATAAAAATGTTTTTTTAATGAAATGAATAAATGAATAAAAATTTCCATGTTGTCATACAATATTTTTGATGACAGTGTCTGGTTTGTTGGCTTTGATCTGTCTGGATAGGCATGATGGTGGCAGCTTGGTCCTCTGTGACTGGCTGTGGCTGATGTTTGAATTTTCCTGTTGTTTTGATCATCTAGTGTAGATATGCTGCTGCTTTATTATGCCTCTGGTATACTCAGTTTTTGCTAATTCTGGGCAGCCTGAGATGATTTCATCAATGGTTTCTTTATATTTTCTACATATTCTACATAGTGATTTGATCCCATCTTTCATGATGTGGTGGCAATACCTGGTAACAAGAATATTATTATTGGCCTGAAGTTAAATTCATCTTTCTGCTCTTCCTCTTCTTATTTGACCTGCAGAGTGAGCCTCAGTAAAACTCCACAACCACGTTATCACCAGCACACAATCACATGCTGAATTTCTACTCCTTCAGAAATTTCTAGCACTGTCCTGCTAAAAAAAAAAAAAAAAAAAAAGCTTCCCACAGTGACTCAGTGGCGCCACCTGAAGGCCAGTAAAAGTAAACTCACAAGCTGGAATAGGATGCTCAGTTTGAATCACATGATGTCACTGTTTGGCCATGTTGAGTTTTACAGAATGGAAATGTTTCAGTGTTAACATTTTGGCCATTTTTAGTGAGTTCACCTTCCAATAAATGTCATTTTGGTCTAACTGCTCACTTTTACTCAATACTTTTAATGTAATAAGAAATTTCCTTTTGATAGATAAATACAGTGAATATTAGACACTTCAAGACTTGTATTCAAGGAGAGTTTAACTTTAACCAAAGTCATTTTATGGTACCTTTTCACTTAAGTATCACTTTAAGGTACTTTATACAACGTTCTAAAAGATCATTTAGCTGCCAAAAAAGTCAGAGGCTGTAAAGCTAAAGACATTTTTGAGCAACTTTTCTGTCAAAGCAAAAATATGAACTTCATGTTCATCAGAAACTCTTTCATTTCAAGCTCGTATTGTGCTGAGGATGGGAAAACACAGACGCAATTCATTACGCTTCAGCTTCACTTTAACTATCAAACTATAGCAAAAAATCTTTCTACAAATAATTAGATTTTTATCCACAGAAATCAGCTGAGACAGACAGGAGTACACAGTGAAGACAACAACAAATTTTCATTGAAGTTTTTGTTTAAAGGGGGGTGTATCATACAAAATCCACTTTTTTAGCTGTTAAATACATTTTGTTGTGAATGTCGAGTCTCTGAGTGCGGAAAAATAATAATTTAGTCCCTCCCAGAGCAGGGTAGATATCATTATATTCTGTTTGAGTCCTATTTTTTAACCTAGTGGGGTGTGAAGTGCTTCAATTGGATTTAAAGAAACAGCCTCAAAACGAGTTGATCTGAGAACACAACAGAAAAGGGGTGAAAGAGGGGCTTGTGGAGTTACAATAAGGAGAAATTCAAACCAAAACATTGCAATTCCACTTTATCTAGACTCCAACTGAATGATTTAAATGTAAAAAAGAAGGATTTAAAAGTGTGATGGATGGATTTTACATTTTTGCCTATTTATAAAATTATGTAATGTATTGTTGCTAATCTAAAGCATTTGGCTAATTTTAATACCTGGTGGTAACTGAATAGGACTTCTGTATATTGTTTGTATTTTACCATGTGATCAGTTTAGGACTAAGAACTTTTAACAGCAGCACAAATGGCAAACAATTTGAACACACCAGTAATATATGGGTGTTACAAAGAACAGCATCTAATTATTCCAGTAATTTTTAAAAGTCATGTTTCAGTATCTCTGACTTTTGGTTYTTTTGTTAATTTGTGGGGTTTTTAGTATTTGGTCCTGTTATTTTTGTACTCCATTAGTCATTTCTCCTCACTCAGTTTCTACTCTTCCATCTGGTCACCTGTTCCTTCTCTCTTATCTGTCACAGCTGCAGCCACTTTTCCTATTGTCCCATTGTCTCTATATTCTGTCATTTTTCATTCCACCATCAGCCAAGCATTCTGCATTATTCYTGCCACATCTGGGCCTCCCTGTGCTCTAAGCTCAGCTGCCATTTCAGCTTTTTGTTTTGCTTCATAATCAAGCTAAAGTTTTAGTTTTTGGAACTCCTCGTGTCAAGTCTGCATCCTTGGATCCAAAGTTCAGCTCAACGGGACGCAAATGCATTTTCTTCTACAGAAAGGAAGCGTTCAAATTAGGCAAACAGAATACAAATAAATAAATAATGGATTTATTTTCATTACAACACTTATAGACTCACACTGTAGTGGATCACAGAGGCTAAGTTTTTGTATCTCTGTCTTCGTCTGGACTCTTAATGAGTCTCCTTGCTGCTAATTAAACCTGACAGACAGTGAGATTTAATTATTATTACTATTATTTCTAATTTGCACACCAGCCCCGAGCTGCTCAGCTCAGCTCTGACACCAGTCAGGYGTGGGCTGGGGTTGTGGGTGTGTGGGGGAAGTCTCTATCTCAGAAATAATCTGCCCACGCTTTAAGCTGCTTTATCCCCACAGAGCCTCACACACTGCTGCTGCTCCGACACGCCGAGGGACGCAGAGAAGAAGTGACACCACTCCCACTGTCAAGTTGGACCAACTGAGCTCAGACTGTCTGTTTGTGGATCATCAGCACACATGACCGGACCCTGGTCCGAGTTGAAGCTGAGCCTCTGAAGCTGGAGGTGGGGCGGGGGGAGGTTTCAGTCTGGGAGGTAGGAGGACAGAAACAAGCTCAGACTGGGAATTGAACCACATCCAGGAGCTGGGAGCAGTGGTTTGGACATGGATCAAGCTGGACTTTGGGTCTTTTTAATCACAAACTGCCTTATATCAGGTAAGTAATAATGCTTTCAACAGGTTTTGGTAAAATATGGTCACAGTTTTAAATAGTTTTATATAGTTTTATATAGCCTACATGGGGGGAAAAAGCTGAATGGATATATAGGAGACGCAACATCTCAGAAAAATCAAAGGTCTAAACATGATTTTACACAACTCATCAGTCTAAACCTCTACTTTTATTTTGTTTTTGATTTTAATGAAAGATTCCTTTTCAAAATATTAAGTAATATTTCTATGTTTTATGCCTTTTGACACATTTTAGCATTATTATGTTATTATTTATTATCTTACCTGATGTATAGCTCTTTGATTGGCCTTAGCTTAAAGAAATAAAATTTAATTCTGATCAATCTGACAAGCTAAAGGTCAGACCAAACGAGGCAGAGCTCAAGGTGAATTGCTGCCATCTCGATTCAAAAGGTTTCACAACAGCTCACGCAGCTTATAATGATTAGCATCACACAGAATTCTGTTTTGTTACAATAGCAAACAGTGATAGCAGCAGCTAGCAGTAGCACTTACAGTGAATTTCTTGCAGAAAAACAAGGAGTTTTTAATGTATAAGGCAGTGTTTTTTTTAAATTGATGTGGTTTTTGTTGTTTTTTTCTTCAACAATTAGTAATATATTGTTACAGCAGGGATGATGTTTTTTTTTTTGAAACAATACCTACACACCCTCTCTTCTAAATAAAGTAATGTTTGGATTGTACACACTGTTGTTTTTTTATTTTTGAAAGGATTATAAAGTAGAAACAATGGTGTCAGGTGAGCTCAGCTTTACTGTATTCTCCTCCAAATGTGTTTCCTTAAAATAATATTAATGAATTCAAAAAGTGTTTTTGCCTAAACATCCATGAGAAAGTTAACGTTCAGAGCGTCTTCAGTGAAATCAAAGCAGCCTGTGTTGGAATGAATGAGCTAACCYCTGCCTCACTGTAACAGGTGCAGCAGTGGAATCACACTAAGCTGAGGCCAAACAAGCAGCTGCCTTCAGAGTTGTGATTGTCGTAATCTAGGGCGGGTGGCGGTATGCCTAATATGTACTGACAAAAGCGATTGTAGCGGATGTGCTGAGCTGTTGCAACATCTGCTGTGATTGCTGTTTTTTGTGGTTTTTGTTTTTTGTTTTCTTTACTGGTGTAATTAGTGAGTGTGAGGCTGCGCCATGTGATTGTCATGCTGAAGGACAGAGGCTTGGATTAGAGAGCAGAAGGGTGTAACAACAAGAAGGCTGCCATGTTTCACCCTGGCTGTTCGTTGCAGGGTTTTCTATTTTCTCCACATGCAAATGTCTGCCATGTTTTTTGGGAGGTGCTGGGGGCGCCACGTCGATGTGAAGACTGTGTTTGGGCTGATTTAGTTTGCATCTTGGGTAAAAGTTGTAACGCTCCTGCTGGGAGGCAGAATAAAACCGAACGAGACCAGCCGACATCATCATGAACATCTCTAATCCACAGCCCACAGCTGGAACACACAGACGCTACTCTGCAGAAATAATCCTGCACAGACACACTCRTTCTGCCCACTCTGACCACAGTCCTCTTCTTTTCTCTGCACTCTCACAAGTCTGCACGTTTATTCCTCCTCCACGTCATTCCTCAGCCAGAGGATGCTTCTCCACAGGTGTTTTCTTCACTTCCTGCCTCCTCCTCCCCCCACCTTTGTTGTGTTCTCCTCTCACGTCTCAACCTCAGGAGCAGTCACCATAATCCTGTGAGCTGCCTGATGAACACCAGCCAAAGCGTACGCTCCACGTTTCTGCAGCGCCACAGAGATTACACACCCAAACTAACACGTGGGCACGCATACGTGCCAATCCCAAACAAAGGCAGATTAGAATTAATTTGAAGGGAAATGACCATTTCAATTAGGAAAAACTAACTAAGAGGAAGAAGTTTTGATAAAATGGATGGTCAAGAGTGAAGTTTTTTTTGTTTGGAGCAATAAAAAGTGCTGACACATTGGGGGAAAAAAAGGTGACAGCGACACAAATAATGGTCATACCAGAACATTTTGATTTCACCACACTACTGCAAGAAAAAAAAAACACAAACAGGATGAATAATCCCCCAGCCAATCACAGATTTGATAACCAGGAGATTAAACAGTTAATCTCTGCCCCTATCTCTTTCTGCTCATGTTTCTCCATCTCACAGATTCACTGTATTATTCATTGGTTTTGTAGTCAAAGTGAGTCGAAAACATTGCAACGACTGCTGTTTTCGTCTGAATTACCCGAATATTATTATTTTTAATTACAGAGCTATTTTAATTTTCAAAGTGTTTGTGGTTTCTTCCTTTAATTCTGGTTACTTATCATGAAAACAAAACAAAATATTATTTTTTAAAGGTTTTTAGGCATTTTAAACTGTAGACGAAGCGTATCTTAAAATCTGGGCAAAAGGGTTTAACAGCATATTTAGCTAATCCATAGTTTTGGATTTTGAAATCTGTATAATTTAATTTATTGTAGTTTTTCATATGACATCACTTACAATAAAAAGTAAACTTGGTTTAACAATAGTTCAACAACCGGACTAAGTTCTACGTTTAATGTGAAATATAGTTTATATGCACATTTTTAAATAATCTATAACTTATTGATGCAGCTTTAGGTTTTGACCAGACTTTTCTTAAAAATTGTCTCAGAATTTGATAAAATCAAATACATCTTTATTATAGAATTAAAATAGCAGGCATTTTTAAAGATAATTAGCTTTTAGAAATAGACCTCGTGTGACCTTTTTTCAACAGCAGCACCTGTTTCATTCATACAATCACTGTTAAAATTAGGTTTTCACATAATGGTGAAAAAAGATGGAGGACATCCGTGCAGGATGTTAACAAAAAAAAGCCCATCGTCACGCTGTGTTGCTCTAAATGTTACCCATTCAATCGTGAAACAGTATTGCTATTGTTTGCTTTCGTTCCCATGCTCGTCTCTCGACTGCATGCTGCCGTTTTTACAGATCATTGTCGTGGTGAGGTCATTTCCCAAGCTTTAAACAATAGAAGAATGTGAGCGGAGGCAGCTGAAGAGAGGAAACAGGGAGAGATGTGAGGCAGTTTTTTTCTGTTTCAGAGAGGGAGTTTTTCTTATTGCTCACCTTAAGCCTCTAATCTACTCAGTAACTGAGCTCAGCAGGGGGGATGTGGAGCGAGGATGTTGGGAAGAAAAATCAAAGGTGAAGAAGTGAAAGGTGATTTAACCCACCTTTACCAGGGGTGTACTACTTATCAAGGTTTGTCAGTCGATAGCTCAATAAAGCTCCTGTAATTGAAATACAGTGTAAAAACAGATATCGTTTAACAGATACAGTTTTTCTGCTGTTGTTCCAAAGAACTTCATTTTTTTCATAATTGGATGCCCACGGATGTGTCTTTGAGCACAGGCTGATAAGAAACTCCCTGACGAAGATACGTGGGTGGCAGCCTTGATTCTCACCCCTCCCTCTCCTCATCCCTTATCTATCTGGTTCCTGACGAGGTCACGCAGGCTGGATCAGAGGAACTGAACTCTGAAGCAGAGAATTGAACTCTGGGATATTGTGTTCCTTTGGTAACATCTGGTTGGACTCTGGAGGTCTCTGTCGGACCAGGCACCTGCCCTTGATGTCACCATCTCCTTCACAATCCCTGCCCCACAGCTTTCCCTGCTTGCTGCTTCTGCTGTATCAGCAAGAGTCGTTTTTTGTACAATGACCGTGTGTGTTCCTGTGTGTTAAACACAAGATCAAAGTTATTTTTTTAAACTCACCATTCCTATGTGTGTGTATTCTGAACACTGTACGGTAGCGCATGCTGTTGCGAATGACCGTGGACGTTCGTTCTCCCATGATGTGTGTTTCTTTCCGGACGGATGTGCTAAACTGCAAATTCCTTGTGTGTGTAAACATACTTGGCCAATAAAGCTGATTCTGATCCCATGTGTAATTTAACAAGATGTTCATTGAATACATCCTCAGTCACCTGGTTTATGGCAGGACATTCTCAAGAAATGCTTGTCTTAGTTTGTGTTAGGGTCAGTGGGATCAGGGCCGGTCCTAGCCAATTTGGCTCCCTAAAATTTCAGGTGGTGCCCCATGCACAATTTTCTAAATCTCACTGCCAATTTGCATATATTTTTATATAAATATAAATAGTTTGGTCTTGATATTATTCTTATCTTAATAAACTAGATTGTCCAAGTAATTTAATAAATATCCTCTGCACCAAATAACCTAACTTAACAAATCAGGCTGAGAAACCCACAGAACAAGTTACCTACATAAACTTGAGTAACTTACTCTCATACTTAATCTACTATTCTCTGATAAAAAGTTATAAAATATTTTCTCCATTTGTGACAACCCCTAGATAGACGGCACCATTAGCATTTGCCTACACTGCCCATGCTCTGAGTGGGGTTATACTAATAGCCACTTAAGCTGTCACAATGTAGATTTTGAGGTTTCATTTTTGCTTTATTTTAAGGTCCCCAAAATATGCCTGTTCTTTATATTAAAAAAGAATAATAACAAAACAATTTTGTAAAAATACTTTGAATAATAGAGAACAGGTGCGCTCGTATGCCAGCTCTCTGCAGGTTCATTTTAATCTCTTATTATTGAAAACGGTGGTGCTGTGGTTATTTTTCTGAGCTATTTTTATCTAAACAGATCATTCTGGTTGATGCATTTGTTGACAATATCACATAAAAACACCCAAGCTGAATTTAATTAAACTTCAGGGGATTAGGGAGTGGATCCTACCATATGTGGAGAAAGCACAATGAGGGTGGTGAAGGAAGAAGTCATTAAATGTTGGTGTGGATCACTTGGATTAAATTAGCTAAATACGGCGTCGGCCTCGGCAGGGAATGTGATCTCTGAGCTCTTACTTTTCATGGCTGTTGGAAATCTTAAAGGAAACTCTAAATATGAAATGGTTTATTCATAAAAACCTTGTTGTAAAGTCAATGAATTATTCAGACCGAGCACAGATGATCAGATTCTGTGAGGGAGCTTGAATGTAAAACATTTTGTGTGTGCGTGTGTTTGCATGATATTGTGTGAGAATTAGGGCAGCCTTTGTTCCGGCGCTGTTTTGCTCCTCATCTCACATCTAAAACAGCCAACATTCTTTTCATCATCACCCAGTTCAAATACTAGATTTAACAAACAGTTCCTGTCAGACACAAGTAAACACACGTGATCCTGCACAGTCAGCGGGTGTGGCGCTGCTGCAGGATTGGTTAAAGGAGATCAGTAAGTCAGTGGGAAGAGATAGCTAAATAAATCCACACTTATTTATACCTCTAACTAATCCACGACCTCCGACCTTTAGTTTATCTGCGCCTCTGACAGCTCAGCTCCAGCTATACGATCAACATGTTTTGATTACAACATGCAGGATGGCACGTCTAACAAATTAAAAATGTAATATGAGAGGAAGTGTTTTCATACCYTTGTCCTTTTGTGTGTTTATTTCCAGAACTAAGTGGACAGAGAGTGGAGATGGAAGATGGGAAGTCTGGGTACATTGGCTCAAAGGTGGATCTCCGCTGCCGGTTTGTCAACAGCAACCCACCTGTTAAGATCTCCCAGGTAATCAGCTGCAATGCACGAATCATGCAAAAAACAAATAAAAATAGATTTGATGGTTATGTYCTAGTTCACATAATGACAGTAGCGTCTAGCTGTAGCACTTCCTGTGCAGCCTGGGGCACTTCCAGAAGGAACGTTATAATATTTCTGCCAGAATAATCATAGTGTTGATTCCTGCATTGAGACCTGCGATTCCTTCAAAATAAAAGTTTGTCATTCCAATTGAGGTATCTACAACAGGTAAGATATTAACTGTTCAGAATCTCTTTACAAAAAATTTGAAATATTTTTTCACTTTACGATGGTTCCTCTCCTGTACAGCTAAAATCTCTTTATAGCACTAAGAAAATAAAAAAATTGTAATAAAACAACTAAAAATCCTGCAGTTTGATTGACAAACTGTGGTATCTGTGGTGTGATGATGAATGGGTGACCTGGCAGAATCAGGATAGTGCTTCCCTGCAAATAAACAAACAAATATAATCATTTTTTTTCCAGGATTATTCCTGGTGAATCACAGTCAGCAGCTACATGAATATTTAATYTTCCAGCACTGAGTCGTTCTCTGGCCCACAGAAGTGAGGGTCAACTCTGACGCAGAAAGTCAATCACAAATGGGAAACCTTGCAGGCTTGCTATGATTATCAGTTACACACAAATAAAATAAAACCTGATGAAACAGGACCTRGAGCTGCTCCTCTTTTCTTTATGTTTCCCTCCAAGGAACCAGACTTTTTTGTCATTTAATAGTTCTCAACACTTTCAATCCTTTATCATTTTCATAAAACTATTCTTTTTTTCATTTATTAGATCATTTGTTCATGTATAAATGAGCATGAAGGATGACCAGTCGTGTCTACATTTAACAGACAATTTAGCAAATTAATTTGTTGCACTTTAAAATATTTTGTTCTTTCAGCCTATATTTTAAAAGAGATCTGTCTGTAACAACAAAATGTCCATTTATCTTTATACTTGTTTGAATAAATTGTTGCCTGTATTTCTTATTTCCAGCAGGAGATAACTGAGCGTTGGCTCAAAAGGCTTGTGTCACAGCACCATACTGTTCTGTGCGCCACCTTCTCCCATCATTAACTCTTACTCCTTCTTTCTCAAGGTGACATGGCAGAAACTGGTGAACGGCACAAAACAGAACGTCGCAATCGCCAACCCGTCCCTGGGCGTGTCCGTGGCCCCGCCGTACAAGGACCGCATCATCTTCAAGAACGCAGCAGTCAGGCGACGGACACCCAACCTCGAAGACACGACCATTATCTTCTCCTCCCTCCGCCTCTCTGACGAGGCCACGTACATCTGTGAATACACCACATTCCCCGCAGGGAACCGAGAGAACACCYTGAACCTCACTGTCTACGGTGAGGCCGCAAAGCCATTTGACCTGGAAATGCCATGTGTAGTTTTAGGACCTTATAACATGAAACTGAGGTTTTTTTAATATTACAAGGAAGAAAGCTAGTGTTTGATGACGTTTTTAGAACATAGGATGTTTTAGTTTTACAAAAAAATAAAATCAAAGAAAGAATTTCTAGGAAATGAAATACATCTAATCTGGTTTTTAAGTTGTTGTGCGCATAAAAATAAGGCTTTTATTAGAAGAGAGGGCCACCGTTTTCTAATAACATTACCTAATGGAATCATTTACAAAGAGAACAGAACTGGACCAAGAACAGAACCRTGGGGAACACCATAATTAAATTTAGAACACGATAGTAATAAAAAGCTTTAAATATTTCTAGACAATACTTTTAAAAGGGTTGTCTTTAACCTTTGGGGAAGATGTAAGAACCATGTGCGAACTCTGGAAAGTTTGAAATGTAAATTYTGATTATTATGTGTATAATCTCTCAGTTCGGCCTAAAACTCAGATGAGTCTGTCCACACCGACCCTGGTGGCTCGTTCATCCAACCTAAAGACTCCAGTAGCGACCTGCATCTCTGCCAATGGAAAACCACCTGGAACCATCAGGTGTGTGTTTGTGAGTTACACGTTAATGTCTTCACCTCTTTGACCTGTATTTTTACACGTGTCTTTGTGCCTCACGAATGTGAGCAGGTGGGAGACGAGGGTCCCCGGAGAAGCAACCACCCGAGAGTACGTAAACTCGGATGGGACAGTCACCGTTCAGAGCGACTACATTTTGGTGCCCAGCAGAGAAACTCACAGAGAGACGCTCACCTGCGTCACCATTTACAACGAGGAGGTGTACACAGACAGCGTCACCCTCGACATTCAGTGTAAGTCTCTCTGAGGCGTTAATAAGGCAGGTCCAATAAAGCAGTGTAACATGAACAGCTGGTTTTTATATATTTATATATTTATACACCAGATGAGCCAGAGGTTACGATCGAAGGGTTTGATGGGAACTGGTATCTGAGCAGAGAGAACGTCCAGCTGAGCTGCCAGGCTGATGCCAACCCAGCCGTGTCTCTGTACCAGTGGAGAGTGTGAGTACTGCTGTTTGTTGGGTTTATACACGCAGCAGGCCTGTTTCCTAACCAGGACAGGGTTGCAGTTAATTTGACAAAAAACCCAGTGAATGTTTACTCAGATGTTCATACGCACCCAGATGATTCATTTTGTGGTGAGAACAGGTTTATTCTTCTGACTCTTCTATGGAAAGTTCATTGTTCATGGTTTGCCACTATTCCCAAATTTATCACTGCTGAAGACTTTATTAAAGTATTTCTATTCTTTTGCAAATCAGACTTATTAGTTTTTCAATTCTAAAGCACAACTTGTATCTTTTACGTAAATAACTGCTTATCAAAATTAAGAAAATTCCCTGTCTTTGTGTAGCCTTCCCCCCACCCTTTTATAAAATTCAGCTGCTTTTAACTTGACTTTAGGCAGCAGTGTGTTGAGTTCATGGCTGGTGATTATGAAAAACTAAAGAATGATAAGCATTTCTTCACAATGACCTTTAAAGAGGTCATGTCATTTAAATTTGCAGACAGGTTTCTGGTCTCAGCTGGTGCTTGTGTTCTGCGAACTGTAAGCTGTAGCCAAACGTTTTGACTCAATTTGATTGAGAAACTGTACCTTAAAGCTCCACAGATGTCATGTGGCTTTGGCCTTCTTGCTTTCAACATTTGATTACAGAATATTCCTTTGAGGTTAGAGTAATGGGGTCCCCAACTGGAGCACCTTTTAGCACCATGGATAAAGACTCCAAGGAGGCTGGTTACTCTGAATTGGATTAGTGGAATAAGGTCCAGCTACTCTCAAGTAAACTGGTTTTAGAGCCCACGCTGTGCAAGCTCAGGCTCCTTCTCTACCAGAGAGATGATATTTCACTTATAACATTTGCACCCAGCCTGTAAGGCCCCTCCTTCAGGTGATGGACCCACTGGAAGCCAAACATACGTAGCTCATTTGAGCTGAACCAGACCTGGCTCCATGTCTGGGTGAGAAACATTGAGTTCTTTGTTGTTTTCCGTCAATACAAGTATTTTGAATCGCTTTTTGTCTGTCCTGTCCGACTTGGGAGACCCTACCAAAGGCAATTGCCCCCCAACAGGTCCTACAATCATTCAGATAGATAACTATGAAATTAAGGGCTGCAGTTTTGGTGCATGTACAAGTTTGATCCAGTGTTTAATCCCAGTAAAACAGTTTTCCAGCTCAGTTTTATGGTTCTGTTCTGGTCCTTTACAGGATCAATGGATCCATTCCTAGCAGTGTTGAGATCCAAGACAACCTCCTCCTGTTCAAAGGTCCGGTGACCTACGACCTGCAGGGAACATATGTGTGCGATGCAACCAACAGCATCGGGACGAGGTCAGCCTCTGTGGAGATCAGCGTCATAGGTAAAGATTTTCATCTGATAAGTTGCTGTGAACAATGGACGATTTCCTGAGTTCTTCTTCATGTGTCGTCCTTTTAGAAAAACCTCTGCCGCAGATTGCGACAGGTGATGTCATCAGCGTCATCGCCTTATTATTGGCTGCCGGAGTGCTGATGGGCATCACAATCACAGTCTTGGTGCTCAAAATTAAAAGCAGAAAAGACGACTCCTTGTGCGTAAACATCCTCTAACATTACACGCCTGTTTGTCTCTGCGAGATTCAGCTTTACATCTTTTTTTTCTTTTTGTTTTATTTTCGATCAGAAGCGACTCCCCGTCCAAAAAACAGCCGATAAGGAAAAGACCAGATGATATTCAGGTAACTGTTCTGTTGTTTGGATTTTTACAGATCTCAGTTTGAATGGCAGGTCACAGTGTTGGAACGACTGAAAACAAATTACTATTTTAAAGCAATCACTGAGCTTCTGTCCGGGTCAGGGTTGTCAAACAAACTCAGGGCCACATGCCCAGACGAAAAAAAATACTAAAGTATATTTTAAATAGACTGCATTTTACAGAAATATATTTTAATATATTATCAATAGAATATACTTTTTAGGATTATATTAGGATTATAAGGAACTGTTGAGTAGTTCATTATTTAATTCAGCCTTCAGTAAACTGGTAGCCTAATACTTTTGTGGTACCTTAGTGTGAAGTAAAACATATAATGTTCGAAGTAGCATAGAGTAAAAATGATATTGATAAGTAGCTTAAAATTGTACTTCCTTACTAATTACAATACACCAAAAATATACTATAATTATGATACAACTACATTGAAAGTATACTGCTTATGAATTTGAAATACATACAATTCCTTTACAAAAATAGTGCACTAAATTTTTACTAACTAAGCATGTTATTAGTACATACAAAGCTATACACTTAAAGTGTACTAAGTATATTTTAAGTTGTTACACTTTAGTATTTAAAATTATATCTAATACATTTAAAATTGTGCTTTTGTACAACTTAAATACAACTTAAGTATACGTATTTAGTATTAAATTAGTTGCTCTGAAATAGCACTCTTCAAATATACTGATGATTAGTGCGGCATCAAGTATACTAAAATATACTTAGATTTAGTAAACTTAGTATAATATTTTTTCACCTGGGTAAGCATTGCCCTCAACTAGTTGCAATTAACATCAGCGTTTTGTGTTTAACTTCGACTAAACACAAAACACATCAACGTTCCTCATCTCATTGCTATGTTTAAGCTATGTTAAACAATAGCTGAGCTCTATATGGTATTTCCTGCATAGAAACAGTGTTTTAACACATCCTCTCATAAACACTGAAAAGTACTATGTGTACGTCTGACTAAATGTGAAATAAATAAAACAGACATTCTATTAGAAATAAAAGTAAGATAGTTTTACTCACTATTGAGTTGTGGTGAGTAGCTGTCATTTTGAATTCTGAACTGAGGTGAGTTCTCCCACTTTCCAACAGGGAACTCCCACTGGAGCAGGAGTTCCAACTTTTAAGTGGGAAATTCCCTCATCCCAGCATAACCAGGCTGCAGAAAAAGTACTTGACAAAAATGCAACTAGAAATTTGGCACTGTTAATTTGACCGCCTAATTTTGAGCCCCGTGACCTTATTTTGCAGATAAAATAATCAACATGCATTTTGGGAAATGTAGTGCATGCTCAGTACTGGCTTTAATATAGCATGCACTTATTTTACATTTATTTAGACATTGCTACATCTTTGAAGCTCTCACAGGCCACATAACATGCAATGGTGGGTCACATTTGGCCCATGGACCTTGAGTTTGATACGTAAGATTTATGACATTATCATGTAGAAATACTAATGCATGTCCTGGCTGAGGAGGTGAAAATGCTTTTTCTTTTAGATTAAATGGAAAAAACTCATAATTGAACCTTGAACATTTTTAAAAACATTAATAAAATTAAATAAAATCAAAGAAGTTCTGTGATTCTGCACGCGCAAAAAAACAGTTTCCCTCTGCAGGTGGATCAGCCTCACTGCAGACATTCATTTTTAAAATTTGTTTTTTTTTGGGGCCCTCTAAGGTGTATTTTTAAATCAGTATTAATTGATGTGATCTCTTGGTAGATCTTTGAATGCCTGCATTCAAATCTGTACAAAAACACAATATTAACCTGTATTGATATTTTTGTGAAGCTTTATCTCATTCCCTTTTCAGTCCTAACTTTTCTTGCYCTTTTCCAATATAAAAAGAAAAAACGAATAAATAAAAAACATTCTCTTAAATAGTTTGGAGMTTGAAAACCTTTAAAACTTTTGTCTCTCTTGTTTTTCAGCACTCAGGGCGTTTTTACGAGGAACTTCCGAACACAGCAGACTACGTGAGCTACAGACTGGCCTGTAACAAGGAGGACTACCCAGAGCCCTACTCCCCTCCAATCAACCCCCCTCTGTCGTTTCTGCCCCAGCAGCCCTACCAGTCCCCACAAATCCAAACGATGCCCGCAATGAGCACCAGCTCCACCAGCACCCCGCTGAAAAACACCTTTGTTCCTCCGTCACACAGCACCACCGTTTTCAAATACCCATCTGTGCCGGGTCTGTCCTCTCCTCCCCCAGGAGTGGGACCGTACACGTTTCCTAAAGAGCAGTACGTCTGAAGGATGTCAGCTTATAATATAAACTATAAAAATCCAACCTGAAGCAGGAGCTGGAGCGTGTGGCTCTGCGTGGTCAGCACTYTCCCTCACAGACACAGAGGCTCAAAGGTCAACAAATGGATTAATTGCTGGACTTTTACAACGATTTGTATCATATTTTGTTCTCTTACCTGCCTTTTTTAAGGAAGGGGTCTAATCCAATATGTAGGTTTTAAGATAGATTAGTTTAAAAAGCAAAAAAGTCTACTATTGAATAAATGAAATACCTTTGATTTCATCAAACTGAAAGGATTACCTGGATGTTCACTCTGCTTCATCCACTGTTGCATCATTTTGTACAAAAAAACAAGATAAATAAATGAATAATAAAAGATATAATTCCCTTCTTTATTTCTGATGACATTCAGTTCATTCTGTGTTGTATATAAAATCAATCCTTTGATGTAATATTTTGGTATTTAATGTAAAACTTCTGCTGTATTTGTATTTTGTATAATATTTGTCTTTTTTCTGTCATAAAAGGACCTTGAGTATAAATTGGATTTATGAAAAAAGTCATGTTTCAGTTGCTGAGAATTGTTTTTGTTGAACATTGAAATTTAGCTTTTAATAAAAAAAATGATCACATGAACAGTTTATCACTTTTATTAAAATGTTTTTGCATTAATGTTCTTTCAAGTTATAATTATTTAATGCATTATTCACAAACTGTCAAAGACAATTTGGGGTTTCACATTAAGTGACGCAAGTGATCAGATTACAGCTAATAACATCAGTTTACTATTATTTGTAAGTGTTAGCTTGAGAATTGGAGGATTTAATGGGGATGAAAATCAAAGGTTTTAATTACAGGACTGTCCGCTTCAAAATCATGATTATCAGCTTCAAACAGTCCTGTGTTCTGAAATGTGCAGGTATGTGACAACAATCCTGTGGAAATCTAAACCCTTCAGCAGAGCAAATGCCATGTATATTAGATGAGCTTACTATGACTGTGTTATTCTAACCCTASAGGGAAAAGAAAGAGGCTCAGCAGGACAGAGATGAGGAAAAACACCAGTAGATGAGCCTCAATCCGTTTATTTACCTGTTTGTAATGCCCAATAACAGCCTGTACTGTCAGACTGATTTGTAAAAGAACAGTTTGGGATCAGAAAAAGAGGAAAAATACCACTCCAGGAAAGAGAGAGGACTCTGGAAGATGAAACCTTAAAACCTTTAGTTTTTTGGGATTACTACAATTTGTTTTTTGAGTAAAGTTGGTGCTGGGCTCAAGATCATCATGATATCATGGTGGCCCAAGTCTCAGGATCAACTTTTATTTATCTTGCATCTAATCTGCTCAGTTTAACAGCAAATGGTAAGAACTTTCAGTATTTTATCTACTAATATATACATTTATCCTTCAAAATATTTACTCYCAATAATATGAGTAAATTACTGAATGTAAATCTTGCATTTATTGGTTCTATTTCTATTGAAATGGTAATTTATTATGATAAACAGCAGCTAGACAAAGCTGTAAGTGCCACTGAAACCTACTGTGTAATCAATCCCACTGCTGGACACTGGCAGGGCATATAACATACACACAAGTTTGTATTTCTAGCCTTATTAGGACCATTCATTGACTTTCACTCATTTCCAAAGTCATTTCTATAGCCTAAACCTAACAACCGCCCCCCAGTACACAACTARTCATAAACCTATCCTAAACTCAATTCACACCTTAGTCCTAAACCTAACCCAACAACCCAAAAAATGGAGTTCCACCATAGTAGGGCTGGATTTGGTCCCAAAAATGAGCACTGGTCACTGGTCAAGGTAGATGTGAATGCTAGAAAAGGTCCTAAAAAGGTAACAAATACAAGTACACACACACACACACACACACACACACACACACAC